GCTTGGCTGAGTCCGGGGGTTGGAGGTAGTGAAGAAACCACACACACCCCTTTCCACCAGGAATGGAGCAGGGAGATGACATCCACCCTCTCCGAGTATCAAAATGGAAAGCGTGTTCCAAGCACATTTTTGACACTCTTGGGAAACCAGTGGGCGGGAAATATTGGGGGGTGTGCGGTGGGTGCGCCTCTGCCAACCTTCCCAAACACACCCTGGGGTGAGGACAGGCATGTGGCCATCCAAAAGCCAAGTCCTGGAAATCAAGACCAAGCCTTCAGAAAGATCGGGGCTTTAGTGTAATGGAAACCGCCGAAGCAAGCAAAGAAAGAAAAGCAGAAAATAGACCCCCTTCATCTCTTCCCTCATTCTACGCTGCCACTGCAGAAGACAAAACGGGGCTGAGGCCTCTCCTAACACCAACACCACCAAAGGTGGAGGGCAGTGAGGACACGGTTGAGGCAGGGTTCAATAGCCCAGGCTGCCTGGATGTGAACCACAGCCAACCCCAAAGCCCAAGGAGTCCCAAACTGGTGGGCTTGGTGTCACTTGTGGAAAGAAAGAGAAAGAAAAGGGCAAGAATGGAGATAGAAGTTTGGTGGGAAGGAAGAAAGGAAGGAAGGAAGGAAGGAAGGAAAGATTGGGAAGATTGGCTGGCTCCATTAACGGCCCAGGGGCACACAGCTGGCCTTGTTCGTTCTCACCGCTGGATGGGTCCTCTCTGAAATCCTCAGATGACAGGGTGTAAATTTTTATGTTCTAATCCTCCCTCCCCAAGAGGGCTCTTTTGTCACATTTATTGTGGCTGACTTCCTATCTGAGGAATATTTCCCATAAATCTAGTAATTTCCAACATTGCATGTTCCTTTGGTGTCATAAGGAAACAGATTTAGGTGACCTAAAGGACAGGCAGACACAAAGACGCCTATAATTCAGGCCTGAGGGCACAGCTCTGGACCCAGTCTATAGCTCTGGGTATTGTCTAGATGTCTACTCGCAGAAGTGTAAGGGAAGGGCAAGTTAGGGGCCAGGTGGCTGCAACTCCTATGCCCCTGCCTTAGAGATGGCATCACAAAGAATTCCCAGCCAATGTCCCATGTCCTACTGCGGTTTAGAAGCTTTGCCACTGTTTTACGTAAAAACAGAGCAGGAGCTCCTCCTGAAAGAGCCACAAAAACCAGCTAATAGTGAAAAAACAATTATATTAAGAACATTGTCTCACATGTAATGAAATCAATATAGGGCCTCAATTGCCCCCATTCTTTTTTTGGACAAGGAATGCTCCCTAACCCCATATTCCTCGTTTGGCCTAGGGTTTAAGGCTCACCATTGTTCTCAATCCCTATGGCATTTTCTTACCTGAAAGAACCTGGCCAAATTTATAGTCATACAAACGCACTAGAACTCCAAGGCATAAGCTAACACTTGCCATGCCCCAGCATTGCAGATTTTCGAAAAATATAATAGGAATGAGAGCAGATTTCCTTTTCTTTTCCTTCTTATTTTGAGATGCTCTTTTTCAAAAGGATCATAATTTGTCTAATTGCAATACATACATGTTGAAGGAGGGGGGTTCCCCACCAGTCAGTTTGAACTTAGAATGCCAGGTTATTGAGGGATTTCTGTTGCCTTCTTACTCACATATAGGGTAGAAGAAATGTATTTAGATTTCAATATTCTTTTCTGCCCAAAACAATTGGAGTTATGTTTAATATCATTCAAATGGTTTTGTGGTTAGGGAAAAAAAAAACCCAAACACCCTAAACATGACAGTACTATAAACAGACCACATGTGCAGACAGATACATAGAACACAGTGGCCGGCACAAACACATTTCTGCCCCATGCAGCTCCGGATTTGTGCTTTGCATTGTTAGATTTCTGAAAAAATTGTCCTTAATCGCCTGCATAGAACTTCACTAGCCAGTTATCGAGGGGCCAAAGAGGAACCGTTTTCATGGTCGAAATAATTTTATTTATCCAGAATATACAGTTTAATTCATCTATCTACACTTATTTACACGGTTAAGATAACATTGAAAAAAGTCTTTTGAAAAGTTGAGGTCATAGATTTCAAGGCACCATTGATAGTGTCCACAGTTGCGCAAAAAAAAAAGAAAAAAAGTTGTTTTTTTTTTCGTAAAAAAGGGGAGGGGTCCTTTGAAATGCAATAACTTACATGCAAAAAAAAAGCTTTACACATGATTTTTTTGTTGTTGTTTCCATTTTCCAAACATCCCAGTATGAATTCCTTCCTTCCTTTCTGATTTCTAAAACAGCAAAACACTGTAGTCCCAAAACTGAGCAAGACAGAGAGAGCAAGCAGCCCATTTAATAGAGCGTCCCGGAGGCCAGGGCCAGCGGGTGCTGCAAGGAGCCCGGCGGCGGCAGGTGGGAATTGATTGAGTTGGCTGCGCTTGGGTACCAGGAAGCCGAGTTCTCCAGGTAGCTGGACGCGGGGGACTGGTTGGAGGTCGGAGGGTGGGCATGAGGGTGGTGGCTGAGAGAGCGGGATGAGCCCTGGGGCTCCCACACCGCTGGTGACTGTGGCGAGTTACACGCCATAGGGTCGCTGGAGCTGGGACTGTGCTCCGGGGGCATCTCCCCGTTTTTCATGATCTTCTTGATCTTGGATCTTTTGTTCTGAAACCAGATTTTCACCTGGGTGGGGGAACAAAGGCACATGTTACCGGGACACTCAGAGGTTGCCCGCGCCTTTCCCTGGGCGGTGAATAAAGGCTCTTGTAGTCCCTAGACTACCCGGTCCTGGTATCTCCCAGCAGCTGGGCACCTATCGCCACGAGGCTGCAGCCTCAGTCTAGGCAAAGAATGGGGCTCACAGAGGGAGCCCCGGCCATCTCAGGCAGCACTAGGCTTAAGCTAGGGTGCCACCCCAAGGCTTTGTCTTTTATTCTCCCTGGACCTGAGCGCTCGTGTGGGCCTGTGCACCAGTGCACCGTGGAAGCCACCCTCTCCTACTCGAAGGCTACGGCCCCAGGGGGAAAGGGGTGTGGGCTAGACTGAAGGCGCAGTGTGCCGAGGGAAAATCTCCAGCACTACTCCCTTCGCTCCCCTCGGCACTGGGAGGCCAGACTCTGCCTGAAGCTCTGGGCGGCGACTTGAACATTCTTTATTCTAGGCCCCAGGCGGTTGGAGTGGGAGGGAAAAAGGGGGGGGCAATCCAGGAGGGTTTCCCCGTACAACAGCGCCCCCCACCTCGCGACCCTCAGGCTGCTGCGATTTCCAGCTGCCTCAGGAATAGGACACGACCGACCGGGACATTACGATCCAGGCCTTTGCATGACCGGAGACCACCGCCAGGCCACTGTGCCTGGAAGCCTCTCATACATTTCTTTAGAACGCGCGCGTGTGTGAGAGAGATCCCCCACAAATACCCATCCCCTCGTTTTGACTCGGGTACACTGGTCCCCAGACCTAGGGGGCTAAAAGAGAGGGACAACTCGGGACAAACGACGAATCCCGCGCCCACCGCCACGTGTCGTCGTGTCGTTAACAGCAGGCCTGGCTCAGGGAGGGAAGGATGCAAGGGCTAGTGTATTTCTATGTGTAAGTGTCTGCAGTGTTCTAGAGACTC